GGCAAGCCCCGCGCTGCTGTCCACGTCTGCCAGCAGCACCTGGAGAGCCGGCGGGGCGGCAGGGTGGCTATGCTGGTCAACAAGGTGCCCCCCGACCCCGGTCCCCTGCCCCGGGGGTAACGGGGTGCCGGCACCTGCCGGACACTGGCTCCCGGGCGGTGGTCCTGGGCAGGGGCTGAGCGGGGTCTCGCGGGCGCAGGTGCACCTGGTGGACCAGCACGCCAAGAAGGAGTTCCACGTGCTGCAGAAGGACTTCAGGGTGACGGCCATCAGCGGGGACAGCAGCCACAAATCCTTCTTTGCCTGTGTGGTGAAGCAGAGCGACGTTGTCATCTGCACAGCCCAGATCCTGCAGAACGCGCTGGTCAGCAGGGAGGAGGACACGCATGTGGAGCTGACAGGTGGGCGCAGGACCCCCAGCGCTGCTCTCCCCGCGGCCAGGCCGGGGTGGGACTGGTCCTGCTGAGTCTCCGCCGCTGGCGTAGCTCAGCCCACTCCCCTCCCTTGCCTGGCGCAGATTTCTCACTGCTGGTGATAGACGAGTGCCACCACACGCACAAGGAAGCCGTCTACAACAAAATCATGCTGAATTACCTCCAGCACAAGCTCAGCGGGCAGCAGGACCTGCCACAGGTCCTGGGCCTGACAGCATCCCCTGGCACCGGAGGGGCAACCTCCTTCGAGGGGGCTGTAGAGCACATCCTGCAGGTGGGTCCCGCGCCCCCCGTCCTGCACCAAGACAGGGTGCAACAGCCCCAGACACAGCTTCTCCCGGGGTGTAGCAGGGTGTCCCTTGGGATGGGCGTTGATAACCCGGTGTGCAGGTGCTGGGCAGCTGGGCAGCACAGGACAGCCCCGAACTTGCTGGGGTGCCAGCAAGCACCACGTGCCGCGTCGCCCTGGGCTGCCAGGGCTCAGGGCTGGAAGTGGGGTCTCGCCCTCAGATCTGTGCCAATCTGGACGCTGAGAAAATCACGTCAGTGCAGGAGGAGCTGCAGCATCTTCAGAGCCACGTCCCCCAGCCCAGGAAGCAGTACGACCTCTGCCAGGAGAGAGCACAGGTGAGGGACGGCCGGGGACTGTGTCCCTCCGTCCACTTAGCGCAGGCCAATCTGAGGAATCACTTGACCCAGAGCTTTGGTGCAGGGGGATCCTGCAACCCTCCAGGTCCTGCCATGCAAACAGCCCCTAACCCCAGGCCAGGTGCTCTGTGCTGTGCCTCCAAGGCTGTCTGGAGCAATGTCCCCGATTCCTCGGGTCCTGAGCCCCACTCTGCTCCCAGGACCCCTTTGGCAAGCAGCTGAAGAAGGTGATGGAGCAGATCCAGCAGTACATGGAGATGCCCGGCCTGCCGCAGGACTTTGGCACGCAGATTTATGAGCAGCGCATCGTGGAGCTGGAGAAGAGAGGTGAGGAGGTGGCAGTGCGGGTGCGGCGGGGCAGAGCTGGCAGCCGTGGGGCCAGGCTGTGACCACAGCATGCCCCGGCCCTTGCCAGCGGCAGAGACATTTTGTCGCAAGATGCGGGTGTGCATGCTGCACCTGCGCAAGTACAACGACGCTTTGCTGATCAACGACACGGTGCGGATGATTGACGCCTTCCAGTGCCTCCAGCAGTTCTATGCCACCGAGCGGGACATGAAGGATCCCACTGAACGGTTCCTCACCACCATGTTTGAGGGTAATGGAGGGCCTGGAGGGGGGGTTGGTGCTGGCTGCGTTTGGGGGGGCGGGAGCTCCCCTGACACCCCACTCGCCTGCGCAGAGAACAGGACGAGCCTGCAGGAGCTTGCCAGGGACCGGCGCTACGAGAACCCCAGGCTGGGCAAGCTGGAGGAGATCCTGCGGGAGCACTTCCAGCCCCCGGACGCTTCTCGTGGCATCATCTTCACCAAGACCCGGCAGAGCGCCCACAGCCTGCTCAGCTGGCTGCAGGACACGGCTGCACTCAGTGGGCAGCACATCAGGGCTGCCGTCCTCACCGGCACTGGCTACAGCAACCAGACCAGGCACATGACGCAGGTGAGCAGAGGGTGGGAAGGAGCTGGACAGGATCCTGGGAGGGATCCAGCCCTAACCCTCTCTGCACACTTTGTGGTGCTGCGGGTGCTGCCTGGGGCTCGGAGCCCTATGCAGCTGCTGAAGCATCTCCCCCCTCTCCCCTCAGAATGAGCAGCAGGACGTGATCAAGCTGTTCCGTGAGGGAGCCCTCAACCTGCTCTTCTCCACCAGCGTGGCTGAGGAGGGCCTGGATATCCCCGAGTGCAACATCGTGGTCCGCTACGGGCTGATGACCAACGAGATCGCCATGATGCAGGTAGCTACCCGGGCTCCTTCTGGCCACTCTGCCTGGCTCCATGTGGGGGGCAGCCTGCTGGGACAGCCCAAAGCCACAGAGGTGGGACACGGGGGCTCTCGCATCCCATGCCTGCTGGCAGCTCCCTGGCGATGAGCCCAGCCCCTGGCAGAGCACCTCCTTGGTGAGGCGGAGCGGGGTGCGGAGGGTGGATCCATCCTTGTGGGGTGGCATGGGGAGGCAGGGGGGGTTGGCCATGGCCCTCCTCTGGTGACCGCAGCATTTGGCCCTTCTGCTGCAGGCCCGGGGCCGTGCCCGTGCCAAGAACAGCGTCTACTCCGTCCTCGCTAAAGCCAGCAGCAGAGAGGTCTCCCGTGAGCTGCTCAACGAGGACCTCGTGGAGCTCATGGAGAGGGCGATCAGAGCGGTGCAAGCCATGCCCGAGCAGGAGTACCGCCTCAAGGTGAGCACTGGGCACTGCCCTGAGCACCAGGAGGGCCAGGCAGCTCCTGCCCGCGCCTGCTGCTTGGGCACAGCCCTTTGCGCCCTGGTTTTGGCTGCCTGCTCTCCCCTCGCAGCAGCACCAGCTCCTTGGAGGGGGCAGCATCAGGTGCACAGGGTAGTGCGTGCCCATCCTGCCCTGCCCATCCTGCCATGCGGCTCGCACTCTCTGGGACAGTGCATCTCTCCATAGCCATGTGTCTTGCCATGTCTGCCATCTGTCCGTGCCCATTGCCCTGCGCTGACACCTGTCCTCCCCACCGTCCTGCTTCCCCTGCCCTCTGCAGATCAGGGAGCTGCAGCGAGTTGCCGTTGCCAGCTGCCTAATGAAGGAGGCCAGGATCAGCGAGAGGCGGCAGCTGCACGACCCAGATGCTGTTTACCTCTACTGCTTCAACTGCAACACGGCAGTGTGCCGCGGCAGCGACATCCGCACTGTGGAGAGCATGCACCACGTTAACATCAACCCCAACTTTGGGTAGGAGCTGGGTGCTGGCAGGGGCGAGTGGGCAGAGCCTGGCTGTCAGGCATCACTTGCACGAGCTGCGGCACGCTCCACTCAGGATGGGCAGGGGGTGGCAGCAGCCTGCTGCCAGCTCTTTCTTGGGGACAACGGTCCAGGGAGGTTGTGGGGGCTTTGTAGGACTGTGTGACTACGGTAGCACACCCCCCATTTCTGTCCCCTGGACCATTGTCCTTAGTGTCTTTCGGCCCCTTCCTTGCAGGTTGTATTACAGAGTTTCCTCTGGGAAAATACAGTTCCAGCGGACTTTCAAGGACTGGGAGCCCGGCTGCCGCATCATGTGCAGTGAGTGCAGCCAGGTGAGTGCAGCAATCCCCCCGTGGTTGCAACCCAGTCGGCGTTGGAGGGGCAGGAGGGGACGTGCCTTGTGCCCCAGCTCCTGGCTGAGGAATGGAGCTGTATCTCCCTTCAGCACATGCCTGTGTGATGTGCGTGCTGCACATGCAGGACATGGACATGGGCAGCCATCTTCAAAGGGGGCCATACCCCGGGAGCAAGAAGCTGCCTCCATCCCAGGTGTGCATGGCCCTGCAGCCTGGGGATGCTGTGCCGCAGGCTGCGTAACTGTCCCCTCCCTGCCCACACAGGACTGGGGAATGGAGATGATCTATCGGCAGGTGAAGCTGCCCATCCTCTGCATCAAGAACTTTGTGGTGGAGACGCCGGCTGAGAGGAGGAGGTACAAGAAGTGGAGCAATGTGACATTCCTCGTCAAGGAGTTTGACTACCTGGAGTACTGCTCCAGCACCCACGGCCAGTCCTTCTAGTGCGGGCTCTGCTCAGAAGGGAACTATTCCCAGGCCACCTCCTGGGACAGTGGGACCCTTCCCATCGCCCTTGGCATGGGACCCTCCCTCCAGGCCTGTGCAGACAGAGAGCCATGGCTCGCTTGTCTTTTCTTTGCTGGACTGAGCTGCAGCAGCACATCCCTTGCTAGAGCCAGTGACTGCAGGAGGAGGCTTTGCTGCGCCCACGCAGAAAGGATGACACACTGGGATGGGAAAGCACCCGAACCCTTCCCTGCCTGCTGGCAGCTGCTCCCCATGCCTCTGCCTTCCCCTCCTGCCCCCCAGCGCTGCTGGGCTCATGGGGGTTGTCTCCACGGCTGGTACACAGCCCTGTCAGGAGAACCAGCCATTTCAGACGGGCCCAGGACATGGCCCAGCATTTCTCTGGCAGCTTCTGGTCTGCTTTGTGAGTTCGATGGTCCCCCATTAAAAATGTGTATGTGTGCTGGGAACAAGGGAAGCGTTGGCGGTTTCATTCATCGCTAGAGCTCGCTGTGCACAGGCAGGTTCGATGCGGGACAGCCTTCGCACTGGAGCCAGACCACCCCATCGCCTGCTGGAGAGCCAGATCCCACCGCGCACCGCACTGGCAGCACAGGGGTCCCCAGGGAGGCACCTGCAAGTGCCTGGAGTGAGTTGCATGTGTGGGGCTGCCCCAGTTCCTACCCCTTCCCACAGACACTGGCCTGAGCAGCCCACCTCACCCACCCACCCAAGACCAAACCTTCCCGTGGCCCAGAACGAGCCTCAGCCCTTCTGGGGCAGCTCAGCCCTGCGGGAACACAGCCTG